GGAGATATTTTGTGATTGTCGCGTAATCTGCTAGCAGACTGTTCAAGTGATCGAAGGGATTTTTTCCGTGGATGTGACATGAACACACGAGTACGCGAACAGGTAGAGACAACCACATGTATGCCTTGTTATTTTTTTCCTGAACGGATGATCAAAGCCATTCAACAGTTTACTCAAGTGGTTTGAACGGATGGATGTTCCAGCGAACGGGTGAGCAAGTTGTTCGAATGGTTGGATGTTTTTAACAAACGGGTGAGCAAGTCGTTCGAACGGTTGGACGTTTTTATCGAACGGGTGACCAAGTCGTTTGAATGGATGGATGTTTTTACCAAACGGGTGAGCAAGTCGTTCGAATGGTTGGATGTTTTCAACAAACGGGTGAGCAAGTTGTTCGAATGGCTGGACGTTTCTACCGAACAGGTGATCAAGCTGTTCGAACGGATGCAAATTTTTTTTGAACGGATGACCCAGGTCTTTCGAACGAATGCAAATTTCTTTCAAACGGCTTTCAAACGGTTTCTAAATGGAATTCCGTTTGAAGACAGTAAGCTGTTAATGCACGTTTTTGCGTGAAAGGTCACATATATTAAAGTGTTATTACAGTGTTATTACAGTGTTATTACGGTTTACAGTATTTTAATAATCTTTTAAACGTACAATTCTGTATTGAGTTTACCCTCTACGTTCTATGCTCTACACTATATGTTCTACCATCTACACTCTACTTTCTATGTTCTACCAGCTACTTTCTTCAATCTACGCTCTATGATCTACCATCTAACCTCTAAGCCCATCTATGCTCTACATTCTACCAGACGAGTCTGTTCGATCTATGCTCTGTGCTCTACCATCTACCATCTACCCTCTAAGCCCATCTACGCTCTGTGCTCAACGATCTACCATCTACCCTATAAGCCCATCTATGCTCTACTCTCTACATTCCACCAGCTACTCTCTGCAATCTATGCTCTACAATCTTACCATCCACCATCTACCCTCTACCCTCTAAGCCCATCTGCGCTCTACTCTCTACGTTCTGCCAGCTTCTCTCTTCGAGCTATGCTCTACGATCTACCCTCTAAGCCCGTCTGCTTGGGAGGTTATTGGAGTTTTTTAATTTTTTTTTTTAATTTTTTAACGAAGACTAGTGAGCAGCACAAAGGAAGGCTTCTTCTAGTTGTAAGCTATTTTATTTGCGATGTGTTTCGTCTGTCTGAGACTTCTTCAGGGAATGATGACAACTAACATTGAACAGCATATATAGCACGTAAGCATGCCTAAGTTTAACTTCCCATGGAAGTGAATGACTGCTGAAACATGCTGTAAACAGACGTTACAAGAAATGCCTTAATGCATATGTTATTGTGTTTTGTTATATTTTGGGGGCCATATGATTGGCGCTAATCATATGGCCCCCCAAAAACATACTATTTACATAGATGTGCTAAAGTAGTCGTAGATTTAAAACTGACAAAACAGTCTAAGTCTGGTAAATGTCTCTGAATAACCAGCTTGATGTTAGTGGTTCTGAGTTAAAACATTTATTTGAACTTGAAATGAACAGCAATCTCTACGACGAATTATGACCCTAAAAACTAGTAAACAACATCTCCACGTCGTTGCAAAACATCCACGAAGTGTTCAAAGTCACGTGACCTAAGTATTCACACTTTTTGAGTACACTATAAAAAAATGTCCTTCACATCAGTTAGCGTGACTACAGTTAAATATAGATTTAAAGACTACCAGGGCTCAAATAATTTTCAGACCGTGGCCAGTCATGCTGACCAGCCAAAGTGATTTTAGCTCGGTCATGTCTCGTTTCTGACCGGTCAAGATATATCTAAAAAACTTCAAGTAATGTTGGCCTCATGAAACCCACAAATATAATTTGTATGTTCTAGTTGTTGCTAGACCTTTTAAAAATTGGCTTAATACAAAGAAAAGCTTAAAACTTAACCAAAGATAGCCTTGGCAGGGTTCAGCAGCTCAATGAAGTGGCACGCTATCAGTGGAATTCTTGCCACCTGCCAAAGAAAAAGTATTGAATGGTTCCCTATTTGAAGAAGCTACTCATAAAAGGGGATAAGTGACGATTTTGGTTGCTTTTCTTTTTTCTTGCTCCAAATTAGCTGAATTTTTGCATGTGGTCTTCAATGTAATAGAAAAACGTGTTCCTGTATTTTTGCCGCTGGTTTTGGCTTCGCTTTATAAAGACACCACTAGGAAAACCGAGTGGTTTTTTGCATACGCAATATCCTGAAAACGAAGCAAGGTTTAGCGCAAAAACTACGGGACATTGCTAAACATACCTAAAC